TGGAATTAATGAGCAGTTAGATGTCTAAACACCTGCACAGTATCGCTACACCGGGGGAATGAGGGGTGTACGGGAAGCAACCGAGAGCAGGAGCTGAGCGAGCTGGAAAATGAATATTAAACAAAAATAGCCGCGCAGAGATATTTTATGCTTGTTACCAAGTTGGACTTCAATGGTGGTGGGGAAAAAAAAAAAAAAAAATCAGAGGCAATATGAGAGCTCCAGGGAATTAGAATCTTCCCCCAGCACGAATATCTCAGTTTCGATGGAGCACAAACGAGGTCTGGGCAGAGAAGGGGAGAGGATGCGCACACTGCTCTGTGTTTGCCGTCTGATCTTTCTCAACGGCGTCAACAAAAAGTTCGAAGGGCACTTTCTGCAGAAAAAAATTGACACATTAAAAACGGTAATTTTTAAATTAGGAAAATGGATAGGAAAGAGCCTTAGGGGGAAAGAAGAGCTCCTTGCTTGCCTGCTGCATTGCGGCTGCGGCGTTAAGAACCTCGGTTACGCTTTACTGCCGTAAATTAAGAAGCATCGGCTCAAACACACACAGAGACAAAAGGAAAAAAAAAAATCAGAGTTCTTACAGCTCCAGGTGGCTCAGAGTCAGAGGACTTGCAGACTTCTCGAGCTGAGCCCAGAACAACCCAAGTGATGGAGAAAAACCTGGGGCCAGGAGCCAGCCGGGGGCTGCGCTCGCCCCAGGAACAGGAGGGGACCTCAAGTGACCTTGACAATGGGACAGAGCCCAAAACCCACCACGTGAAATTCAGCCAAACCAGCGAAAAAGTTCCACGCTTCGGGAGGAAAACCAGAGCGTGGTTTCCAAAGCGAGACGTCCCTGGGCAAGCAGCGGGCACCGCGGTGTCGGGTGGACAGAAATGGAAAGAATCCATATGAACCAGATCGATCAGAAAATAACCGAAAAGAGGAGAGTGGGCTTGTTGTCTTGAAGAAACAGGGACCTGGAACACCACTGCTGGCAGGAGGTGAAAGGTTTTTAAAAAGACTGGGGATTTGTTTCTCTCCGTGACTGCCAAAGGAGGGATGAGCAGCTCAGTTCGCAGCATCGATAATCCCACCAGGAATTAGGGGAACGCTGGGTAACAGTAATGAACCCCTGGAAGCAAGGGACTCACGGAGCATCCTGTACCAGAGGCCAGCGTAAACCAGCAGCTCTCAGAAATCTCCTGGGTCCTGGCTCCAAGCACGCGCTCCTGCAAGCACGGACCCTGCCGTGGCTTGGGACACACCACCGGCCGCCCGGCCGCTGGCACGCGGTGACCGTCACCGAGCGGCGTGCACGGCACGCCCACACCCTGCACTGCTGCTGCACGGCACACCCACACCCTGCACTGCTCCTGCACGGCACACCCGCACCCTGCACTGCTCCTGCACCGCACACCCACACCCTGCACCGCTGCTGCACGCTCGGCTGTTCCAAACTGAAATTCAACAGGGCCAAGGGCAAGGTCCTGCCCGTGGGTCGGAGCAACCCCCAGCAAAGACACAGGCTGG